TATGTCCCACAAAGTGCTAAGTGCCCTCAGCGGCTTGCCAAGCAGGAAGGGATACCTAGACATTGAGTTCAATGGGTGTGGGGGGGGGCTACTGAACTCTTCTCATTTGCGGTTCACACCACTGGATAAAGCATTAGTGTAGCAACTATACTAATAAATAAAAAGGCCAACTGCAAGACCAACTAGCTTTATTCCTGAACACTTGTGATTGATGCACCTTGTGGGTATGCACCTACATTGCAGCATTACTTCTGAGTTCCCGGTCTGTTGGTATTTTGTATAATCAGTTAATGATTTATCTACATAAGTGATTTGAATGGAAGTGTCCTTGAGATATAGCGCTCTCTCTCCATATATATATATATATATAATAAATAAATAAATAAATAAATAAATAAAAATCCATTACCACTCTGATGTAACTCCCTCCCCTTCCCCACCAAATGAAGTTTTGTGTTTTTCCTGTTGGCTGTGGAGAAGCAGGTAAACAAACACTATTCCCAGGGGGTACTGGTATGAATATTAGTCTATGTGACAAGGTGTTCAGAAAAAAGAAAGATTTGGATATGTAGGTGGAGCTTGAACACCTTCGTGGAATGTATTTATTTTACTATACAATAAAGAAAACTATGGCCTACCCATGAGTACAGCAGAGCTTTCCTCAGCTAAAGTAGAGGAGTGAGCCACAGATTACATCATCTTCCCCTTTTTCTTCCCTAAACTTTGCCTGTAGAGGAATGTCACCCTCAGTCTTGTTTCCAGGGAACCCTCCTCACTACCTCTTGATGCCAGATTCATTCCCCAACTCCTCATAGTGCATCTGTCTTGTGGGGGAAGTAATTAATTCCCCACAGTTGCCCAAGGTTACCACCCTGCAAAACCTTGCATTCAGGGCTGAAGAGAATGCTTTTTCCCCCAGCCAGCGAGAGAGAGAGAGAGGTTTCTCTTTTTTTCCTCCAATATGGCCAACTCATCATTCATTACAAGCCCTGAGATACGTTTTTTTCTTAAATCTCAGCTTTCATTAAAAGAGTTCCTTACTGCAGAGAAAAGACAAGACGAAAATTCATTTAAAAACAAACCCTGATTTTTAAGCCAATCATGATTTTTTATGGCCCGACTGGTGAGATTTCAGGACTTAGCGTTAGCAATGCTGAATCCAAAGTCTCCAATCAGTACTGGGTCTACACTGTGTAGTACAAAGACACAATGACATACTTCCTGCCCCAAAGAGTTTACAGCAATAACTTTGGGCAGGGTCCATATGACTCTACCACAGTGCCCAACACACAGTTATCATATGTACCTTCCAGTAGAATCACCAGAAAATAATCCACATTTAGGACAGTAACCAGTAAGGCAGAAATTTATTCTCGGGCTAAGAGGTAGTAATTTAAATAATAAATAAGACAATACAACTCCTTGACAGTCTCTTCAATTACTTTTTAAAAAGCTTTTAACACTGCAGAGATTCCTCTCTCTTACCCCATTATATATTTTTTAAACAAACTTTTTTGAAAAAAAATATTACTTAAGTTAAGAAAAGGCTTTGCCCTAATAACTTTTAATGCTGCATCTCAGTAGAGCAGAACAAAATAACATCTTGGTTCCTCTGATTATGAAGGACTAGTGTTTAGTTATAGCTTTGTGACGATTGCATAGCATGTATGTATTACAACAAGCTTAATGTGCACTGAACAATCAAAAATAGGAGCATTTTCCATGTTTCCTAAGGCTTACTGCAAAAACATGCAAGGCAGCCTATACTCCAGCAGTGCAACTTTTCACAGTAATTTTGACTACCACAAGCCAACCGATTACTTATAGACAAGCATGTTGAGTTTGGAGCCCACGTGGTTGAGAATAGATTCTAATATATTGTTTGTGAACTGATGCAGTCTATAGAAAGAAAAAAAATTTCAAAACTGGTAGTCACTGAAGCTAGACAATACATGGCTAACCCAAAGTTATAAATCTGCTTGCTAAGGAAAGAAGTGGTAGAAAACAGCTAAGAGAAGAAGGCAATCAGAAAGCAGAATTCAATAGCCATTTTTCCTTAACAGTCCCCTACAACAAAGATCTTATAAAAATTGTTGGTGGTACATTTGCAAGAAGAGGTGAAAAAACCCTCAGGTAAGAAGCCTCTGAAGGATGTCCCTGAAACATCTATCCTAGCCTCTTTATTCAAGCCTTATAAAGGAACTCCAGGTAGCAACATGACAACATCCAGTAAGAGAAGATTATTCAAAGTCCTCATTCTGCTCCCAGTGAGGTCACCTGGAATTTAGTTATAGATTTAATAGTAATTTAAAGCTCCAAACGATTGATCAGAACTTCAGTTGTTTGCAACATTCTTGTAGAGTGAATGGAGAGATTCATGGGAAATACTTAGGGTGGGCTTTTCAAAAGCACTCAGCATCAGCTGAAGTCCACTTCTATTGAAGTCAGTGGGAGTTCCCACTGGATTTCAATGGTAGTTTAATTAGGACAGCTAATGGAATGTACAGATGGCCACCAGATGGACCAAGACATCCCCAAGGAGTAAGAATGACAGGTAGTCCATGTTCAGCACCTTTCTGCAAGTAGGTAAATTTCTTGTTGACTACACCAAATTATGAACCTCTTCCACTTTGCTAGCATTTCCTCATAGAGTCATTCCTACTGCTACTCAGTATGGCCTGTCCATCCTCTAAGCAGCTACTCTCTAGGTTCTATATCTATCCAAACGGCATGCCATCAGGCACAGTGTGGGTAGGTTGTCATGGTGAGCCCTCACTCTTGTCCTAATTCAAAAGGTTTCCTACCAGAAGGTCATGAGGATGCCAGGCTGATAACATGGGATACCATGACTGACAGACCCAACCTGGGGCTATGGGCATGACCTTCACTTCATCCTGCCTGATTTTACTTAGCACCTTCAGTAACAGAGGGATCAGAGGAAGTGTGTCCCTTACAGCCCTCAACCACACAAGTATCATCCAGAGTGCCTAGGCTGCAACATCCCCTGCAGCAGAAGTCCTTGCATATTGTGTTCATGTCCAATGCAAACGGGACAATGCCACACCAAAATACCTTCAGCAAAGTCAGTCCATGAAGCTCCCATTCATGTTCTATGGGAGAACTGTTTTTTGAGTCTGTCAGGGTGTTATGAACCCCTGGCAGATGGATGGTAATCAGAGCCACCAGCAACAACATGCACCAGTATCAAAGGACAATGACTTCCATGCAGAACTGCAAGGAATGTGCCCCTCCCTGCTTGTTGATGTAATGACTGCCATAACATTGTCAGATAGTACAGCAAATGCAAGGGAGGAAATGGTTGCAGGCCAGCCTGACGGCTCCCAGTTCCAACACGTTGTCGTGGAGTACTAACTCTAAAGGATCATGTCCCTTGAGCCATCTGCCTCTCTGTTTTCCCCCCCTGCAACTTATCAGGAATACATCATGGTCATAGCTCTCAAGGGTAGCAGGGAATTGCACAGAACTCTCCCCCCCCCACACACACACACCCCTTTCCTTGACTTCCCACTAGCCAAGGGAGTACAGGACACTCCAGGGAACTTAAGCTAACAACTAGAGGCTGTATCTTCCTGGGGTGTACATAATCTCTATCCATACTTGCAAGCATTTGAGGTGAAGCCTCAAAAACAGGGTCACATAAGTACTTGCATCATATGATGTAACCTAGCCAGTCAAAACCTCATGAGTGTTCTGGGGCTCAACTACTTTTGCTGTTCAAGCCTGCCAGTGGGTAAGCAGCAGTCACCTGGCAACTGGATCCAGTCTTTCCCTGGACTTCCCCAGGTTCATCATGAGAACCAGCATCTTAAGTGTACCCACACTCCCTGGCAAGATTGCTGCCTTAGTAGCCAATCGTCCAAGTAGGGGTACCCAGCCTTACCCTATTGGGAAAAGGGCACCACCACCACCACCACCACCAACACCACATTGGTGAAAGCCCTCCGTGTCACTAAGATCCCAAAGGGAAGCACCTGGTACTGTTGCTCACTGGAGATAAACCTCAGGAATCTCTTGCATGCCAGGGCCATGAATCAATCTCAAGAATCAAGTGAGGGGATAATCCATGATAGGGTCACTATTCTGAACTTCGGGTAGCAGATAAAACTTGTTTAAGCTCCCTGAGGGTCAAGATCGGTGTTCTCCCCCCACCTCCTGTCCTGTCTTCTTGGGGGGGGAGGGGGAAATGAGAAAATACCTCAAATAAAGCCCTCTGCCCCATTTGCTGCTAGAGCCACTGGTTAGCTCACTCCCCTTTGAAGGAGGACTCCACCTCCTGCACAAGAACCCATTCGTGAAGGATCCCCAAATGAGGACAGTGATGGGATCTGGAGTTAGAGATGAATGAAAAAACAACCTCTAGTACCCATCTCAGTCATGGTCTCTGTCCAGGCTGGTAGGTACCTTCCAAAAGGGTAGGGAAGGGAGGAGAACCAGAGGAGCAGTCTTGATCCAACAGGTTGGATGGTGCATGTCTCTCAAGAGTCCTCTCAAAATGCCAGTTTGGGAGCCAATGTTGGCTAGAGCATGAAGGACAATTGCACCTAGGCTCTCCTCCTCTGATGCTTTTAAAGTGGCTCATACAGCCGCTCATGATGCAACACAGGCAGGGTTAGCCTCTGCCTCAACAGTGGATGGATTTGCACTTCAGCACAAGCAAGTAGTTGCCAAGCAAATGGAGCGTGGCTCCCGAGTCTTTCAGCAAATGGAGGGACTCATCTATCTTCACACTAAACAGTTTTTCAAATTCAAAGACAAGATCCTCTACCACTGATTATACCTCCTTTGAGATCTTTGCAGAAGAGAACTATCATTGTGACTTAGCAAGGCTAATGAGAAGAAATTGAAACTATCTAAGTGCAGCTGTAAGTATGAGCCGTACTTTCACCAAAACAGGATGTTCACAAACCAGAAAACTAAATTGCAAAGGAATGGTTAAATAAAACGTATCAAAAGGAAAAAAGAAAACCACCTTTACTTACCAGAAAGTACCAAAAGCTCAGCCCCCACGGGTCCTAAAAACTGCAGCCCATATCTTGTACTCTCGTCAGGCTGCTAGAAATCATAAATTAAAAGCAAAGTGACTTTGGAAACAGGAAAGAAAGGAAACAGCCAACAGGAAATAAAACTTCACTGAATCTTTGACTTGCACCTAACATGTTGCTGTAAAAACCATAAAGGAAATGCTTCTGGATGTTTTGGAGAAGAGAGAAAATGGGTAAAGTCAATTGCTTCTGACAGAATATTAAAATTAAAAACTTGTAGAATATCTAATTCAGCATTCTTTTAGGTTCTGGACTATGTCCAATGTACAAGTGTAAGACTCACCCCTGCGGCGCCTCCTGCTGGTCGTCCAGGGAATTAGTTCTCCAGCCTCTGGAGCGCCCTCTGCAGGCCAGTGATCCGCCTGTCCTCTGCACTCAGGCTCCCATGTCCCTCCCAGGACCCCGGTGCCCCTTGCTCTGGGTGCTGCCCCCTGGCAGTATCCACACACGCTAGGTCTCCCCTCCCAGGGGAACCCCCACCCACTAAGCCCACCTCACCTCAGGATAAGGCCACTGCCAGTCACCAGCTAGCCCCCACTCTCTGGGGCAGACTGCAGTATAGGCCACTCATCATCGGCAAGGTTGGGTTCAGACCTGCTGCCTTGGCCTAGCCCTGGGCTGCCCTCTGCAACCCTCAGTACCCCTTGACCTATTACCAGGCCACAGCCTGGGGCTATCCAGGCTGGAGCTCCCCAGCCTTTCCCCAGCCCTGCTCCACTCAGGTATCCTGTCTAGCTCCCTGCAGTCAGGCCCTTCTCTCTCTGCACTCAGAGAGAGACTCTTGAGCTCCTGGCTCCCAGCCTTCTTATACAGGCCAGCTGGGGCCTGATTGGGGCATGGCCCAGCTGTGGCTACTTCCCCAATCAGCCCAGTAGCTTCCAGGGCTGTTTTAAACCCCTCAGGCAGGAGCGGGGTAGCCACCCTGCTACAACAAGATAAAGCAAAATCTTGCTTATTACCTTCCCCAATCTGTAAGTGGGAGGCAGTAGGAAAAGCAGCAAGGGTAACACCCCTTAGCTGAAATTCAAATATTAATATTGTTTTGTTACTTGCATATTTGTATTAGACAAATTGCAGTCACAAAACTTTGGGGTGCAAATCAGTTGCTGTGCATCATAATTCCAAAAATGGGTATCAAGTTAGTTGCGATTTCAGACATACCCAGCATGGTAAAGAAAGCCAGCAACATATAAACTTTTGATACTTCCTGTGTAAAGCAGAAACAAAAAAATGCAGCTGCATTTTGCAAGTCATAGTTACAAGGCTTAATTCAACCCAAAAAAAAAAAAAAAGAGACTTCTCTCTTGCAATTTTTCCTTTATATAGCCTAAACAAAAAGTTAATGTATGTTAATATTTTTCACTCTTACCACTTGTGTTTTAATCTAGGATATAAAGATGCAAGGAAACATATTTGGCTCCTAACTAAAGCATTAGACTTCTTTTATAGGCAAACCAAGGTGCAAACCTGTAACGATTAATGATTTCAACCCTTAGTTTCCTGGACTTGCTCTGGACAACAATGTTTAATCCATTTGTGGTATGGTATGTTGAAATAAATAAATAATTAACGGAGATATCCTATCTCCTAGAACTGGAAGGGACCTTGGAAGGTCATAGAGTCCAGCCCCCTGCCTTCACTAGCAGGACCAAGTACTGATTTTGGAGTGCAGGGTCACAGGATCAAATTTTTCCCAAACCCCAAAGGCACATTTATATATATATACACACACACTAATTTGAGCAGGGGGCAATTCCCATTGACTTGTTATCTATTGTGTTAAGGATAAAGTCCTCATCTTATGTGATAGGGTTCATTAACAAATCACCTATCAAGGGGGGGGGAGGGGGAAGACTGTAACCCAGTGGGCTAGTTTGCCTTTATTATATTCACTGCTACTGTAGCCCAGTGGGGAAAGCTTGCCTTTATTATAGTTATTGCTTTGCATTATATTTAGCAGTAATGCAAGAAACCTAAAGGCCTGTAACCTGTAAGACATTAGATTCAGCAAGTTAGCATTAGGCTTGAGATCTATGAATTTTGAATAGATAAACTTTGCACAGATAAATGGCCCAACGGAAAACCCCAAGTATTTGGGGAGCTGAAAATAGAGTTTAAGGGGAAAGTTCTGACCACAGGTACACGAGTGAACCACAGAAGTGTCCTGGCAACGAACTGACATACATAACAGGTACATGAGATACATCTAAGGCTAGCCTGCTTGCTTATATATCTTTTCTTATAAGTTTCTTATATTCGTATGGGTTTGATTATTTGTTTTATTATAATAGGTTTATATTAGAGTATATTTTGGCTGTAACAGAAGGCACCCGCAGGCCACATCCTGTATGTTGAGCTAAGGTAAAGTTAGTAGACATATGTTTGGGACCTTTCACCTAGATAGATGGCAATGAGCTAAAGCATAAGGTCCATATATAGCTGCAACCTTTAACATGGAGGATGCATTAAAGGAGGTTAGCATAGGGGCTTTCCTAAGTTCATACCGGTTTAAACTTAACAGGTACACCACAACTTGGAAAGAACATAAATGCTCAGTTAGGACAGAAATAACAAATGTGATACCTAATCATAAAAGGGCCATGGTAAGGAATATATATGATAATAAGTTGAAATAATCGATATTACTAACCTATAGGAAAAAGACACTCCAATACTAGCAAGGTGAGGAAATACAAATAAGGAAAAAGGGGGAAAATCCCCTACTGAATATGCATTCAACATAACGGTGTCAGTGTAACATATTATAAAAGTGTCATCCCAGCCTACTGGTGGTAGGAGAGAGAGAGAGAGAGACCGAGACATCTCAGAACTGGAAGGGACCCTGAAAGGTCATTGATTCTATCCCCCTAGCAGGACCAATTTTGCCCTAAATCCCTAAGTGGTCCCCTCAAGGATTGAACTCACAACCCTGGGTTTAGCAGACCAATGCTCAAACCACTGAACTATCCCTCCCCCCATAATACAGAATTAAAGATCAGGCAACAAGGAAAATCTAGCCAACACAGCTTTACCTCATCAGTCAGGGACTGAAACTGCAGAATCTTTTTGATAAATTCAGTCAGCTTGTTGTAGATGGCCAAATATGGTTTTACTATCAGCACTTGGAGACTGGACGCCATCATTGCTGCCACTGCCAGTGACTTGTGGGGGCAAGGTGCAAGAAGAGGTATTTCAAACCCTGGGCAGGCACAAAATACCTCTACTCAGCCCACTTGGACACAAACACAACCGTGGCCTCTGGCTTCCAGAGTTTTTGGACAGTTTGAGTATAGCTTTATTGATAGCAGAACCACTTGCTTCGGCCTGTGCTATGTAGGACATCCAACAGTCTGGACAGAGCTTCCCAGAGAATTTGAAGGGCCTCTGTCATCCTCTTGGGCTGGATCTCTCCTCCTGACTGCTGCTGTAGCTCCTGGGGAGGCTGCATGCACTCTTCTCCCCTCGGGAGTCCCACAATTCCATCCACAATGGGGAGGGGGGACATCGGTTGATAAGCTCATGGACCTTCCAGGCTCCAATAATCTCATTGTGGGACCTCATAGGTGCAGGACCTCAGTGAGATGGGTACCACTTATATAGAGTGGCAACTCCTTTGCATGGGAATATTATGACATTCTGAAGCTCTGTCTGGGCTTGACCCCCATGAGGGTCCTCTCAGGGAGTAGTCTGAGTATAGGTCTCCTCAACCCTGACATCCCCCTTTCAAGTCAGAGAACTCTGAGCTGAGACCAATGGGGAGCTCCCCGTACAGGAGGAGGCAATGACCTTCCTCTGCTCATCAATCTTACCAGTGAAAGTCTGGCTCTACCTAGACGTTTGGGGGGGGGGGGGGAGGGAGGCGCAGTGAAGGGTATCACAGAGAGATGAGTTTTGACTGGTGTCCTGGTACCAGAAGCAGAACCCCAAACAATCGTGGTGACTCTGGTTCTAGCAGTATCAGCAATGGCAAGAAGTGGGCCACAGACAATGGAGTGACTTCCTCCTCCAAACACAGATAGTCCGTGATGGATCCAAGAGTACCGGTCCTGATACAGCCACTGGCAGCACTGAAATACTACCCTTCAGTACTGGGAGCATAATGGCCTTGCTCTTCAGCAAACTATTGCTCCAGTCCTTCCTGGTACTGCGTGTCCCAAGTCTGCACACAATCTCTCCCCTGACTTGGGATAGGATGGGAACTTCTGCCTCTTCTTGAAGAATCTGCCTGGGGAAAATTTCCCCTATTATTCTTACAAGAGAATCCATCTTCCTTCCTTCCTCCATCTACTCTGGCTATGCTCACCTGAGCATCTTGGAGACAACAGGCAGAGAAGTGGGGTGGAACAGAGGCCCTAGAACTATCTGAAGCCATGCACAAAGAAGCTGAAGTACTTGGTGCAGTAGAGGAGAATCTTCCCAGTTAGAATCAAGTCCCACTGTCATGCACCTGTCCATAAGGAATTGTCTGAGTCAAAACTCCATTTCCGAAGAGGTCAGGCAGGCAAGTATGTGCAGATACAGCACCTGGAAGGGATGTGGAGGCAGCATAAACAGGAGTCATGGTTGTCTGTTACAGGGAAGCGCTTCTGGAAATCCACACAACTCAAAGACAGAGATCCTTGGCATGCTCTCCCTGCCACTGGTTGCAGGAGGTGGGTGGTTCCTAAATGAGGGAATTGACCCCAGCCATGCTAAAAACTAGCTATTTCCAACTAATTTTGTAATCTATTTACAGAAAAGCTGAAGAAGCACAATGACCCTGGTGCTCCATCTGAAACTACAAGCGTTGAGAAGGAACTGAAATGGTGGTGGTCCAGCAGCCCCATGTATACCTTGGGTGTGGAGCATGAGGCAGCTGGTGCACATACATGGACACTGCTAGGGAAAAATTCTCCCATCATGGGTGCAGGTGCAACCTGAAATGCACTACACATAAAGGACAAAACTCTTGAAGAAGAATCAGTCTTAAGAAACATCTATAAATCATAACAATACTCAGGCACAAAGTACATTTGTAAGAATGTCTTCCAGAAGCTTTTCCCCTGACATCAACTGGCTTTGGATCAAGCCTTATATGAGGCATTAGATATAACGGCACACAGGGCTGGCTCTGGCTTTTTGGCCGCCCCAAGTGAAAAAAAAAAAAAACACGGGGCGGCCAGAACGGCAAAGCAAAAAAAAACCCCAAAACCTGCGGCACGACCGGATCATGGGTGCAGGGGGGCTGGCTAGAGGGGGAAGGGGGAGGGA